TAAATTTAAAGAACATACACTACTAGATTTTACTAAAGGTAGATCATTTTTTAAGAAACCCAAAATATGTTTTGAAAAAACTTTATTTGTTCTTAGGCTTAAATTTTCTAAGCAGGATCTTTTTTTAAGTTGTGATATAATATGCATAACATAAAATTGACTGTTTTAACCATTTTTAAGTTGCATTTAGTACATTCATATTGTGAAACTGTTGCCATCATCCATCTCCAGAACTCTTCATCTTGTAAAACAGACTCTACCCATTAAATAATAACTTCTGTCCCTATGTTTGACTTCTAGGACCTCACGTGAGTAGAGTCATTCAGTATTTGTCCTTTTGTGACTGGCTTCTTTCACTTAGCCTAATGTCCTTAAGGTTTATCCATGTTGTAGCATGTGTCAAAATTTCCTTCCTTTTTAAGGCTGAATAATAGTCTTTATGTATATACTGCCTTTTGTTTATTCGTTCATCTGCCTAGGTACACTTGGGTTGCTTCTACTTTTTGGCTGTTCTGAATACTGCAATGATTATGGGGTACAAATACCTGTTCAAGTCCCTGCTTTCACTTCTTTTGGGTGTATACCCAGAAGTGGAATTGCTGGATCATATTGTAATTCTATGGGGCTTTTTTGTTTTTCTGTTTGTTTGTTTTGAGGAATCACCGTACCATTTTCCACAGCAGCTGCACACTTTGCTGCATTTCTTGACATCCTCACCAACACTTACTATTCTCTATTTTGATAATAGCCATCCTACCAAATGTTTATGAAATGACTAATTTTTGGAATAATAGATGAAACTAGTACTACCCTTATCCAACATTTTATAGAGCAGTGAATCAGACCTTTATTGGGTATGAACATAAGCTGTAACATATCAGTCACTTGGTGATTTTCCCCCCTCAGCTTCCACTATTATTAAGATCTTGTCATTATTTAAATACCAGTTTTAATAAATACCAGTTTTCCTTTGACAGATTTTTTTTCTAACATCAGAAATATCATTTCTTATGCAGATTGATCTTGTGCAGATAAAACAGATGTTTACTCAGATGTATCAGAAGACCCTGGGCACAATGATTGCAAGTGATACGAGTGGAGATTATCGAAGGCTGCTTCTGGCCATTGTGGGCCAGTAGGAAGGATTTTTTTTTTTTACATGAATGAAGCTATTCATAGTTTATCCTTCAAAGCAGTGACTGACCTGCATGCAGCAATATCAACCATCACCTAACCAAAAGAGGTTTTTACTAAGGACTATGGCAGGGTAATGTGCTTGGTCTGCACATGTTGTTATTGCCTTAATTCTAATTTTTTTCTTTATATACAATCAATGTAAAGCCATATCACTATGATGTAGTAATATCACAATGTTTGTTAAGCTTCATTCTCACTGATCTTATTCTAATCAGAATGTCAAATCGAATAAAAATCAAAACAATCTCTAATTCTGTGTAATAATGTATAATTTTATAAAAAGTTGCTGAAAGCTCTGCCTTCCAAAATCCTAGTAGGTCTATTGGATAGTTAGAGTTGGTAATATGTCAAAACTATTACTTTTTTTTAAAAGTTCATCTCTTCTGACCTAGAAGAGTAATTTGCATCTTATTTTGCATAAATTGGTGTTCTATATTCGTAAAACTTTCCACGGAGGAAATAGATTAGTATTACCTATAGCACTTTTTAAAAAAGTGTCAAATGTTTATATGCTTAAAATATAGACTACCTTTTTTCAGTTGTTTTCTTAATGGAAGTATGACTGATAAATTTTGCATATATTAAAGGTGTACAATATGGTATTTTGATACAAGTATTCCTTGTGTAATGATTCATACAATTAAGCTCAAGCTAATTACCTGTCACCTGACATCATTTTTTTCCTTGTGGTGAAAACACTTAAAATCTACTACATTAGAAAATTGCAAGTGGTATGATACATTATTATTAATTATAGTTACCATTCTGTACATTAGATCTCTAGAACTTAAATACATATTATAAATGAAAGTTTTTTTTTCTCTAAGTAACTTCCTTTACTAATAATTGAAAGTTTGTACCCTTTGACCAGCATCTCCTCATTTTCCATACCCGCCACCTCTTATGACTACCACTCTGTCCAGGTTTGACCATTTTAGATTGCATGTACAAGCAATATGCAGTAATTCTTTGTGTCTGGCTTATTTCACTTAGCATAATGTTCTCCAACATCTTCATAGTTCTTCAACATTGTCACAAATGGCAGGATTTTCTTCTTAAAGGCCAAATGATATTCCATTGTGTGTATATATGCACCATAATCTCTATCCATTCATCTACCACTGGACAGTTGGGTTGTTTCCATATCTTAACTATTGTGAATAATGATGCAGTGAACATGGGAGCGCACATATTTCTTGAGATACTGATTTCCTTTCATTCAGGTGAGTACCCAGAAGTGGTATTGCTGGATCATATAATGTAGTTCTGTTTTTAAATTTTGAGGAAGCTCCATACTGTTTTCCATAACGGATGTACCAATTTACATTCCTATCAACAGCATACAGAGTTCCCTTTTCTTCACATCCTTGCCAACACTTACATTTTTGATAATAGCCAATGTAACAGGTGTGAATATCCCATTTGTACTTTAAAAGAATGTTCATGCTACTGCTATTAGGTAGAGTGTTCTGGACGTCGTCTATTAGATCTAGTTGGTTCATTATATATAAAGGCCTCTTTTTCCTTCTGATTCTTCTGTTCGTTACTAAGAATGGGGTATTGATGTCTCCAACTATTATTTTTTTCTTTTTTAAATATTAGATGCTCCATGTATTGTCTTTCTTTTTTTAAACAGTAGATACCCAACTATTATAAAACTGTTTCTCCTTTCAATTCTGTCAGTTTTTGCTTCATATATTTCAGTGGTGTGTTAGATGTGTAGATGTTTATAATTATCATATCTTATTGCTCTATTGAAGCTTTTATTAATATATAATGTCTTTTGTCCCCTGTAACCTTTTTTTGATTTAAAGTCTATTTTGTCTGATATTACTAGATTTTACCAAAGAGGAAACAACCAAAATATGTGTTGAAAAAACTTTTGTGTATTTGTTCTTAGTCTTAAATTTTCTAAGCAGAATCTTTTTCTAAGTTGTGATAAAATATACATAACATAGTTACTATAGACTTCCCTGCTCTCTTTTTTGTTAACTATTTGCATGGAGTATCTTTTTCCATCCTTTTACTTTTAATCTGTGTCTTTGGATCAAAAGAGAATCTTTTGTAGACAGCATATAGTTGGATCATTTTTTATCCATTCTTCCAATCCCTCGCTTTTGATTGGTGAGTTTAATCCATTTATATTTAAAGTAATTACTGATGAGAAATTTCTGTCATATTGCTATTTTCTATATTCCTTATTGCTTTTTTGTCCCTCATTTCCTACAATACTGTCTTTCATGTTTAGTGTTTTTTTTTTTTTTGTAGTGAAACATTTAAATTCTTATTCCTTTTGTATATATTCTATAGCTATTTTCTTATAGTTACCATGAGGATTACTTTTATTAATAATGTCCTAAAGTTATACCACAGTGGAGGATAAAGCAACTCCATCTTGGATGCTAATCTGCCATGTTGACTTGTGATTAACTCCTGTTCCAGGAATGCCTTTAAGATTTCTGCTTTATCTACTGTTACTATAAATCCTCTTAGGATAACTTTGACCATAAATCCTGTCCTTATGCAGGTTCATATAGCATTTTTGCCTTACCCTGAGGGGTCAACTTCAATTATCCCACACATTCTTTCCCCATGGTATATAAGCCCTGGGTCCTTGGTGGGTAATGGTGCAGGGATCCACCATCTTGTCTTGCTGCTACCGGGAACATGGCTTCTGTTCGTAAGTCCCTGTTAAATGTTTCTGAGAAAATGGATTTGTCAGCGTCTTTGGCCTCCGCTTCCTTGGACTTTGAGGGTACATTTGCATAGACCTCACCACAAGACACGCTTTAAATTTATACCTGTTTAACTTCAGTAACACTATAGCTGGGCATGGTGGCATGTGCCTGTAATCCCAGCTACTGGGGAAGCTGAGGCAGGAGGATTGCTGGAGACCAGGAATTTGAGGTTACAGTGACCTGTGATTGGGCCACGGCATTACAGCCTGGGCAACAGAGCCAAGACCCTGTCTCAAAAAAAATTTTTTTTGAAGATTTTTATCATCCCAGGAAAGAAACCCCATACCCAATTAGAAGTCCTTATTTGTCCCTCTTCCACCCAACACCTGTCAACCACTAATCTACTTTCTGTCTCTATGGATTTGCTATTCTAAGCTTTTCATATAAATGGAATCATAAAATATGTGGCCCTTTGAGTCTGACTTTCAATTAGCATACTGTTTTTAAGGTTCTTCTGTGTTGTAGCATGAATTAGTACTTCATTCTGTTTTATGGCTGAATAATCCAGTGTATGGTTATACCACATTTTCTTTATCCATTCATCAATTGATGGGCATCTAGGTTTTTTCACCTTTTGGCTATTACAAATAAGCTACTGTGAACACTCATGTACAAGTTTTTGTGTGGACATGTGATTTCTCTGTTTATTTTTTTTTGAGGCACAGTCTTGCTCTGTTGCCCCAGCTAGAGTGCAGTGGCGTTGTCCTATCTCACTGCAACCTTAAACTCCTGGATTTAAGCAATCCTCCTGCCTCAGCCTCTCAAGTAGTTGGGACTACAGGTGCACACCACCACACCCAGCTAATTTTTCTATTTTTTATAGAGACAGGGTCTCACTATGTTGCTCAGGCTTGTCTTGAACTCCTGGCCTCAAGCAATCCTCCTGCTTTGGCCTCCCAAAGTGCTAGGATTACAGCTGTGAGCCACTGTGCTTGGCCTGTTTTCAATTCTCTTAGCTATAGACCCAGGAGTGGAATTGCTGGATCATATGGTGTGTCTATTTAATTTTTTCAGGTTCTGCCAAACTGTTTTCCAAAGTGGCTGCACCATTTTACATTGCCGTCAGCAATAGATAAAGGTTTCAATTTCTCCTCATCATTAATACTTACTATTATTGCCTATCTTTTCGATTGTAGCCATCTTAGTGGTTGTGAAGTGGCATCTTATTGTGCTTTTGATTTTCATTTCTCTAATGAGCAAATTTTTTGTGCTTAATAATTATATGCATATCTTTTTTGGAAAAATACTCAAATGCTTTGCCCATTTTTAAATTAGGTAATTTGTAGTTTTTTTATTTTTTTTATTTCAACATATTATGGGGGTACAAATGTTTAGGTTACGTATATTGCCCTTTCCCCACCCGAGTCAGAGCTTTAAGTGTGTCCATCCCCCAGACAGTGCACACCGCACCCATTACGTGTATATATACCCATCCCCTTCTCCCCTCTCCCATCTGCCCAACACCGGATGAATGTTAATACTATATATGCACATAAATGTTGAACAGTTAATACCGATTTGATGGGGAGTACATGCGGTGCTTGTTTTTCCATTCTTGTGATACTTCACTTAGTAGAATGGGCTCCAGCTCTATCCAGGATAATACAAGAGGTACTAGATCACCATCGCTTTTTGTGGCTGAGTAGAACTCCATGGTATATGTATACCACATTTTATTAACCCACTCATGTATTGATGGACACTTCAGTTGTTTCCACATCTTTGCAATTGTGAACTGTGCTGTTATAAACATTTGAGTGCAGATGTCGTTTTTATAGAATGTCTTTTGTTCTTTTGGGTAGACGCCCAGTAATGGGATTGCTGAATCAAATGGTAGTTCCACTTGTATCTCTTTGAGGTATCTCCATATTGCTTTCCACAGAAGTTGTACTAGTTTGCAGTCCCACCAGCAGTTTATGAGTGTTCCTATCTGTCTGCATCTATGCCAACTTTTATTGTTTTGGGACTTTTTGATAAAGACCATTCTCACTGGGGATAAGTGATATCTCACTGTGGTTTTGATTTGCATTTCCTATATATATATATATATTTTTTTTTTGAGTATACTCTTAAAAAGTACCAGAGTGAACTGATCCAGGAAGGAACAGTCTGTATTTTTGTTGGATCATAAGAATTGTTTATTCTGGATAGTACACCCTTATATATAATTTACAAAATATTTTCTCCCAGTCTGTGGGTTGGATTTTGTTTTCTTGTTGGTGTCTTTTGATGTACAAAACATTTAAGATTTTTTCTTCAGGACTTATATATATTTCGAGACAGTGTCTCGTTCTGTTGCCCAGACTAGAGTGCAGTGGCATCATCATAGCTCACTGCAACCTGAAATTCCTGGGCTCAAATTCCTGCCTCAGCCTCCCAAGTAGCTGGGACTACAGGCACATGCCACCATGCCTGGCTAATTTTTTTTGCATTTTTTTGTAGAGATGGGGTCTTGCTATGTTACCAGGGCTGGTCTCAAACTCTTGGCCTCAAGCAATCCTCCTGCCTTTG